TCCGAATTCAAGAAGGAAAAAAATATTATTTTCCCTAACCCTATAAATAGAACATTGTGCCTCTTTTGGAGGGAACCGTCATACTTTTCAAGTGCAAGAGGTAAGGAATAGAATTCACCATTAAGGTTCTTCTATTATTCTTTTCTTAGATAATACTTTGCATGAAAATAATTATCTTTGTATTTTTTATTAGCACTAGTAGCTAAGAACCTTTGTTCTGGGGCTGCGACTATGGATGGTTGTTGAACATTGATTTAATTAGATGAAGTTGGTTATCTCATAAATTATTCTTGTGTTCTTATAGTACTATTTTAATGCTTGATCACTATTAGAATAAATTTATTTTCTACTTTTGAACTCGAGAGAGGAATAGAGTGATAGAACGTAGAATATAAGGAGCATGATCTTTTTCTGAATATCACTTGAATTGACATGTGTCTAGGAATGGATATACCTACGTGTCATGCTTGGTTACGTAACAAGACGATAACTTTAGTGCGAACTTGATTCCATATATTTAAGCTCAATGATGTAGTGTCACAACCCAACCCAACTGGCCGTGCGGGCATCAACTCTACCACTTAAACCCTCAATTCCCAAACGGTTTAGCCATGCGGAAGATTCGAGAAAACTAGGATAAAAACAAATTCATAAAGATTTTCATAAATATAAGAGTTTAAACAAATCAAGTTCAGACATGTAAAGTAATTAACACCCCAGGGATCTAGTCTAAACAGGTACAAAAGCTACTAAGTTTACAAGGTAAAACATAATAATGAGGAGACACAACTTCTACCATGCGAAAGGAAAGATAGAAGCTGTTGGAGATTGCCTTTGTCTTCACTTATAAAACATCACTGATCTTGCAACCAGACTATGCCCAAAAGGCATAGCAACAGTAGTAGCAATACAAAACTACACATACTTGTAGGCATCATCGGTCAACCTGCTACCCACCACATAATATAAGAAATCAACAAGTGAAAACAAGTAGTAAAACTATTCATTCCTCCACCTTTATAATTACCTGCCCTCACCAGTTTCGGATACTAAAACTCGTACTAGCATACTTGACTTTCAACCCCTTAATCATTCCAGTCTTGGTCATGACTTAACCATTCTACCTCTTAAAGGATACTCCGGACATAACCACTAGCAACACACCCTACTTCATTCACGTCAACACTCAACTCTTGACTACTTAGTACGTTATATCAAACTTGTTAATTGTTTCAATACTAATCCCCTACCGGATAATACATGTCTATTTGAAAACACAACAAAACACCTCCCCATTTCTCAATAACAATACTCACTACCACCCTCCACGGGCGACCCGTAAGGACACTCGGACCCTTGTTCTCTACTTACCGTTTCAACTCCTGATTTTTAACCTAACCATTCCCAATCCACTACACCAACAAATATATCCAGCTAAATTTCAACATCACAACCAACCCATATGTCTATATAGAATGCACAACCTAGTTAACATGTCATGATTCAATGTACAAATTCCATATTCTCAAGATATACAAATATGCCAAGTCAATGGTCCTCTTATGAACCCACACCCAAAATGTTAGTGTACTGGAACGTGGTACCCGATCTAAGCAAGTGTGCTAAAATGTAGTACCCGATCCAATAAGTATGCCGGTACGTGACATCCGATCCAATGCAAGTTAGCGTGTCGGTACATGACACCTTATCCAATGCAAGTTAGTGTGTCGGTACGTGACATCCAATCCAATTATCACAATCATGATCATATTCACATCCATAATGTACAATACTCACATCATATAGTCAAGTACTCAAGTTCAGGCATGCATTGTTATAATAAATTCATTAGATTTGTTTCCACTTTTATCGAATATCATACCCGCATGCATACCATACGCCAATCGATCGACTAACATTATACATTTAGGAAATCACAACAATCGCCTAAACCCTATTTCATGAACTAGGGCTTTGTCCTACGGTATACGTCTAATGTAACACTTAAGGATATACACATAATCAACCTTTTTTTGATGCAAAAAAAGCCTACGCATGAATTATAGCGTCAATTCCAGCATACTACGTAGTGAATAACATATTTATAATTAATCTATAAATAAAGCTAGCCTACCTGGGCACCAAGTATTCGCAGAGGGTTTATAGATAAATTTCTAGTTTTCGAACGATGGGACGGTGGATTTTGACCAGAAATTTGTAAGCAATCGCCATCCCCACACTAGAAATCTCTTTCTCCTCCCTTAACAAGCCTAGCGTATCCTTGAGAGGGTTTATGGGGTGTTCCTCGCCTATTTTAGGTGTTTTTGGAAGAAGGAGAAAATAAGATTTCATGTTATTTACATTCTGTCTTACCTATCCCGCTCTGGCGGCTACTTATCCCGTTGTGGCGGTGCCACCTTAGCGACATCAAGCCCACCCCGGCGGGACAGTGGCCCCAGTATTTTCTTAAAGTTTTAATTTCCTAAATAATGACGATTCGAGTCGTTACAATAGATACCAATTTACCCCTCGTTCGTCCCCGAACTACTAGTGAATGGATCATCACGCGTCCTATCTTGGAGTACTTTTAAACTAATGAACTGGTGCATTACGGAACCACAACGGATGGTGACTTTTCAAAATTTTGACACACGAAAGGTGAGATACTCAAGTGCTGGTTAGGAATTTGAGGTAACACACAAAGAAAAAAACGCGTCCTATTTATACAACCTGATCCCATGAGAGACATGCCTCCCACTAGGGCGGGGCTGTTGTGGCGAGATATCTCCTGCTATAGCAGGGGATTGTAACCAGTAAATTGGGGAATGGGGAATGGTTTCCCCATTTCTCCCTTTTTCTCATACAAACTCTCCCAAAACCCTCTCGATTCATCTACTTCGAACGTCATTTCTAAGGTAAATTTCTTGTTTATTATGCTCTTTACTTCAATACTTGATTAACAACGATTGCATGCTGCTACTTAATTGATTAGAAACGGTTTTTGGTTAGTTTTTCAAAAATGAACATAATTTCTTGTTGGTTAGAAAAATGTAGCATGGGCACTTCCCTTACGTCCCCAACGTCTCCACGACGCCCTAGGCGTAAGGATTTCGTCAACAAATGGTCGAATTGGTACCAAAATGGGTGGAGGAAGTTGAAAGGTCTCTTGTAGAAAACTTGGATGTGGACGCTATTTAGGGGTTATTTTGCCAAAATAATTGCATAATTATGTTCTAAGATACTTAACATACTCTGATTTATTGAAATTCTGTGAAAACAGGGGTTTTGGGATGAAGGGCGCCATAATCGCACCTAGTGTCCTAGATGAAGGCCGTTCTGGCGACCTTCATCCCTTTGTAGCAGCCTCTCTCATCTCTTTATGGCAGGATTCAGGCCACTGTGGCGGGACACAGTGGGGCAGTAGCCCCTTGCCACTTAGAGCAGAAAATTTTTCTCTTCCCTTTATAACCCAAAATTGCCTAACTCTATCATGTTCTAACATATATCTTCCAACTTTTTGCAGGCTTCTCTAAATAGCTGGTGCTAACGAGGAAAATCCACCTTTTTCCGCTTCCCCGATGTTGCTAGTCGGGAAAGGCATCACGACTACCGGAACAACAAGTTTTGTTGTGAGAGAGGCTTTGTCTTACTTAGACTGGAGGAGAAGGTGCCTGCCTTTTATGCTCGCTTGATGGAGTTCGGATGGGCTCTACTGACTAAGGCTCCCCCTACTGCATGTTCTGACTAGGTGAGGGAGTTCTATGTCGTTCTACCTACAGTTCGCTGGGATGATCCCCATCCTACCATTTGTATCTGGGGAGTCGATATCCCTATGAACGCTACAACCATTAATGAGATGCTAGAGGTGCCCGAGGTCTCAAATGCGGAGTACGAGGCCAAGCTAAAAGAGATGGATGTGGACTGACTGAGGGACACACTGCTGGAGTCTGCACACCGGGAAATAGTTTATTGGCCTACTGCCGAAGGCATCACTAGTGCGAACCGGTCACCAGATGATAAGAGGTGGCTGCACTTGGCTACTAGGAGGATCCATCCATTGGGCAACCGTAGCGACGTGACATTTCCTTATGCCTTGGTGGTGGCGTACATTGTGCAGGGCGTTAAGCTAAATGTGGGGGCACATATTATCTCAGAATGGAAGATGTTCTACCTAGGAAATAAGAAGACTTTCATCCTACTAGGACTTGTGACTACGATGTGCAAACAGGCGGGGGTGCCCCTCTTAAAAACTGATGAGGTGCTCATATGGATCCCCCCCCTTCATCATTTTTTGGTTAGGCAGGGTTCTACTTCTAGGAGCAAAAGGATGAGGACAGACAGGGCCAGTAGAAGTCAGGCGGCAACGGAGGCAGACAGCGAGGGAAGGGAAGACGGTGCAGGCGACGACACTCATCCCTCCCGGTCACAGTCCCCACTCTTAGGTGCACAGGTGGAAGAGGATTTAGTGGCTATCCAGAAGAGATTGGGACATTCTTTTGCTAACACTACCCCGGTTCCACCCAGCACTGCCTTTGAGGTTGAGATGCTCCGCCGAGAGTTGCGCCAGCAGAGGAGGAATGGTCTGGAGAAGGATCCTCTGATGGTCCGAATATGGAAGGCTGTGAGGGTCATCTTCACTTGCATTGCCCCTGGACAGGAGATTCCCCGAGTCGAAAAGGATACTTCCAGCATTTCACCTTTATGGATGATGTCGTGAAGGGCCTGGTACCCTGGAGGTATTAGACTCTGATGACGATACCTCCAGTCTCAGGGTTTCTGATTTGGTTTTTCGCCACTTTTGGGACTGTATTTGAACAATACTTTATTTTATCTTTTTGCTTTCCTACTTTTGTAAGCATCTGGATGCTAGTCCTTGTTGTCTTTTGAAGCTGATATTTAAATGTTAAGGTTTATAACCTATATTTGATTATTGAGCACTAATTTAAGTTGCGGGGATTAACCTATACGCGATTCGGTCCTAATTAGGTGACTTAGGAAAAATGGAGGAGACAGGGAAGAGGTTCTGTCTCGCCATGTCCCGCTCTGGCGGGAGAAATCCTGCGCTGGCGGCCTCGCTTTGGCGGGAAAATCCCTCCCCAGCAGCCCCAACGGAAACAAAACCCCTGCCAACCATTTTCTGGGTTCTTCTCTTTTCTAACTTTCCCAAAGGTTCCCAGCTATAACACATGCATTTTTAGAGTAGTCCCCTTAGCTAGGATAGTCAATGTCTACCCCGAGTAAACCCAACGATACACACCCCACACTCGTCCTCACTAATGCAACACCACAACACACACACAAATTCGAATATTCAGTCTAGCCTGCTGTTATATCAAGGTTCATACAAACACATATTGAGCACATAATCGCATCATAACATTTAAGAAAACACATTATTCACACCAACAGTTTAATTCTGACAATAGGAAGTAAACATTTAGGGTTTCAAATTACAATGCACAAACAAATCCAAAATTTTAGTTAATTCAGTTCATGGATGACAATTACTGATCATACATGCATTTACACAACCCTTAGGGCCAGATGCTAATTGGAACCTTCTCAGTTCAAATTTGATTTGCTTGTGTCCCTTCAGTCATGACCACGACGTCTGGATCACTTTGACTCAATTCCAATTGGACTCAACTCATACCACAAGCGACACTCACACGAAATGAGAGAAAAGGTGGAACAACTTCTTAGAATTCTTCCTAGCCTCCTGAGATTAGATGTGGACGTTAACACACCAATCCGCAAGAGTCTATTCCATATTTTGTTATTGTACTGGGAGACCGATAACATGGGCTTTGATACCAATTTGTCACAACCCAACCCAGCGGGCGGTGCGGGCACCCACTCTACTACCCAAGTAGGAGAACCCTCAATTCCCAAACGGTTTAGACATCCAGAAGATTCAAGAAAACTAGGATAAAAACAAATTCATGGAGATTTTCAAAAATATAAGAGTTTAAACATATCAAGTTAAGACTTGTAAAGTAATTAACACCCCAGGGATCAAGTCTAAACATGTATAAGAGCTACTAAGCTTACAAGGTAAAACATAATAACGAGGAGACACAGATTCCACCATGCGGAAGGAAAGATAGAAGCTGCTGGAGATTGCCTTCGCCTTCACTTATCAAACATCACTGATACTTCAACTAGACTATGCCCAAATGGCATAGAAAGAGTAGTATCGGTACAAAACCACACGTACTGGTAGGCATCATCGGTCAATTGGATACCCACCGCATAATATAAGAAATCGACTAGTGAAAACAAGCAGTAAGACTATTCATTCCTCCAGCTTTATAATTACCTGCCCTCTCCAGTTTCGGATACTAAAACTCGTACTAGCATGCTTGACTTTCAACCCCTTAATCATTCCAGTCTTGGTCATGACTTAACCATTCTACCTCTAAAAAGAGACTCCGGACATAACCACTAGCAATACACCCTACTTCCTTCATGTCACCACTCAACCCTTGACTACTAAGTACATTATATCAAGCATGTTAACCGTTACAATACTAATCCCCTACCGGATAATACATGTCTATCTCTAAAAAGAGACTCCGGACATAACCACTAGCAATACACCCTACTTCCTTCATGTCACCACTCAACCCTTGACTACTAAGTACATTATATCAAGCATGTTAACCGTTTCAATACTAATCCCCTACCGGATAATACATGTCTATTTGACAACACAACAGAACACCTACCCAATTCTTAATAACAATACTCATTACTACTCTCCACGGGTAACCCGTAAGGACACCCGGACCCTTGTTCTCTACTTACCATATCACCTCCCGATTTTTAACCTAACCATTCCCAATCCACTACACCAACAAATATATCCAGCTAAATCTCAACATCGCAACCCACACATATGTCTATATAGAATGCGCAACCCAATTAACATGTCAGGATTCAATGTACAAATTCCACATTCTCAAGATATACAGATATGCCAAGTCAATGGTCCTATATGGAACCCACACCTAAATGTTAGTGTACCAAAATGTGGTACTCGATCCAAGTTAGTGTGCTAAAACATAGCAACCGATCCAATGCAAGTTAGTGTGTCGGTACGTTACACCCGATCCAATCATCACAATCAAGAGCATGTTCACATCCATAACATACAATACTCACATCATTAGTCAAGTACTCAAGTTCATGGCATGCATTGTTATAATAAATTCATTAGGTTTGTTTCCACTTTTATCGAATGTCATACACGCATGCATACCATATGCCAATCGATTGACAAACATTATACAATTAGGAAATCACATAAATCACCTAAACCCTATTTCACGAACTAGGGCTTTATCCTACGGTATACGTCTAATGTAACACTTAAGAATATACACACAATCAAACCTTTTTCGGTGAGTAAAAAGCCTACGCATGAATTATAGCGTCAATTCCAACATACTATGTAGTGAATAACAGATTTATAACTACTCAATAAATAAACCTAGAAAATTTGGGCGCCAAACATTTGTAGAGGGATTGTAGATAAATTTCTGGTTTACGGACGACGGGATGGTGGATTTTGCCCGCAAAACCGCAAGCTATCGCCATCCCCATGCTAGAATTCTCTTTCTCCTCCCTTCTCTAGCCTAGAGCAGCATTGGGAGTGTTTTCGGGGTGTTCCTCGCCTCTTTTAGGTGTTTTTGGAAGAAGGAGAAAATAAGATTTAACGTTATTTATATTTTGTCTCACCTATCCCGCTCTAGCGGCTACTTATCCCGATATGGTATTGCCGCCTTAGCGGCATGTAGCCCACCCTAGTGGGACAGGGCCCCGGTATTTTCCCAAAGTTTTGCTTTCATAAATAACGACGGTTTAGGTCGTTATATGTAGTTAGATTATCAACTGGGGTAGGTGATTAGAGGTCGAGAGATCATGATCATAATATTAACCTTCTAAATCAATAATTTGATAACCATCTAAAATCCATAAAAGAAATGTGAAGCATGAAGTTTTTGTTATGTTGCAGACTTGGAATTGTCCTAAATTATTGTTAGCATTCATCTTGAAGTTGAATCATTGTTAGTTAGTATATTTCTTTTATTCTTGCTGTAATGACCCCGTAGGACATTTTTGGAATTTTTTGGAAAATTACCATTTTACCCTCCCGATAGTTACCCCGAGTCCTATCTGATCAGTTTATGAAGTTGGTTTTGAAATTTGATTGTAAAATTGTGATTTTTTTGAAGTTTTAGAGTTTGGAGAGTTAGAGTTGTTAAATTGTTTATAACAACCGTAGCTACGAGTCTCAGAATGGAATTTTGTCTGTTCCATTAGCCCCCGAACATGATTTTTGGGTTATTAGGACTATTGTCTTGGGTCCCAAGACTTTTGGTTTATTTTGAGTCAGTAGATGAGATGCAGAGAAAGTTAAGTCTAAAATTTGACTTTAGTCAACGCTTGAGGTTAGAAAGGTCATTTTTGAGTTTGATGATTTCAATAGTTCCAAATGGTGATATTTGGTCTAGTTGAAGATTCAGTTTAGTTCCTGAAGCTTTTGTATAAGTTTCATGCACTTATTTGGAAATTTGGATATTCTTAAGTTAAAGTTAACTTTGGTCAACATCGTGTTAAGGTGACAATGTTTGGTGTTCTAATGATTCCATTGACTTCGAAATCTCATTTTCAAGCTAGTAGCATAATTGGTTTGTGGTCGGGAAGTTCCAGATGAGTTTTGGGTGAGTTTCTAAGGTTTTTGGGTGCCTTGGCGTTGTTTCAACAATTTGTCAACTAAAAGGTTTGTTATTAGTTTTAAAGATCAAACAATTATTCTGAAACTTCTGAAATTTTGAGCATGAATTATAGGATTGATCTGCAAAGTTTGGTGCATTTTTCGCGAAGCTGAAATTGGACTTTTATCGTGATTATGAAATAAATGTTTACCGAGCAGAAATGATATTTGATTGGGTTAACGAGCACGAAATTGAGTTTCGATTAGACGAGCAGTTCCGTATCATTATTTAAGACATTTAGAAAAAAGAATCAGGTCATTTCGGTATCGAATGAGGAATTTACGGTCTTTTTAGTGAAATAAAAGTTGTTGGTTTGCTGGTGCGACTACAGTTGTACATGCATTTAAAATTTCAGGCTGTGCTCATTTGGTAATTTGAACATATTAGGAGTTCTCGAGCTCAGAGTGATGTGATTCTTTCAACATTCTTCTCGATTTAATATGGGGGTTAGTATCCAATTGAAATACATTTTCTCATGATTTCTTCATATGATTTTCTTTCCTTATTCGTGTAATTCTTGGGGTAATTAGGGTCTATCGATTTGAACTTGGATTTTGATGAAAAATGTACATTTAGGATCCTTATGTTATGGGTAAATTGATTTTGACATAAGTTTTTTGATTCATCGATTATTTTCATCATATTAACCGCATATAAGCTTGAGAATTTGGGTTTTTCCATGGTAAAGTTAAAGTTTGATAAATTGAGAATTTCAAGGTCGATTTTAACTCCATTTTTTTTATGGAATTTCATATTTGAAACTTCCCTAAGCATGGGCAAGATATTTTTCAAGAACTATTTTAGATTCGAGTCGAGGTTTCGAATCCGAGTATTGAGGGTTTTTCTCATGAACGTGTGTTTTAATTAAACTAGAGTTTTGAGCATGATTTCAACTCATTGTTAACTGGGATTTTAATTATTGAGTTCCAAAACGTTTTGATAACGTGATTTTATACAAATTTCTAGAATTATCCCTCCTTTTCGAAAAGTGGGTCTTTTTTTTGGCTAATTTGGCTTGATTCTCAAAATCATTGATATGGCATTGTTAGTTTTGAAATCTTATTGTGAATCCTCATTTTATTAAATTTATTCGATTCAGATAACGTACGAAGAGGGAATACTTAAGTTACGGAGTGATTGTATGTTTGAATTGAGGCAAGTGATCTCCTAAACTATGTAATTTAGTAGAATTCGTGTATTGCCTTCATTGTGTATGTGTTGGGAGTAATGGGAATGAGGTGAGGGATTTTTTGTTCCACTTGATAAATCTCAATGAATAAAAAGGAGTTTAAATTAAAAGGCTACGTGTTGATCATGATGCTTGTGAATTGCCTTGTGGTGGCCCCTATTTGATTGAATGA